TGAAATTGCATCGTGAGAAGCCTTATAATTTTTACTTTCTATCAGATATTTCAGAGTGATTTAGGATTAGATTGGCCTCGCGTATGAGATGAATATTACAGTGAAGCTTATGATTTCATAAATGCCGCGGAATTTTTTGATTATCTGAGTGACTCCCAGTTTTTGAAGAAAGAGCCTGTTAAAAAGTTGTTGTGAAATAGGCTTAATAATTATAATGGTGTGATTATGGGCCGAAATGTAGGCATAATGAAGAATATTCTTATTAAACTTAGCCTTCTTGAGAACAGTTAACGGTTTGGGAGACGAAACGGACGTGTGGCTGCCTAATTCCTATTTCATTTTGAACACTTCATGCCAAGAACGCTTACACAACGGTTTTAAGACGTATCGGGTTAGAACCTAATTGTTATTACTGGCAGGTAGAAGTTAAATGCACAAATTATGTAACTCGTATATTATTAATGTTAATGGGCTGTGTAAGTGTGCTGTTTCAGTTCTTATTCCACAGTAACTAAATGTCTCATATGTGAAGTAAATAGTCGCGATTGGTTAAGTGCTGTATACACAGCGTTTGTGTGTGTGTATGTGTGTGCTTTAGCTTATGAGATGCTGGAACGAACACAGGCACATCTGTTAATGAATGAGATTTATGCGTCACTTTTCCTGCCGTTGTTTCATATAGTGGCACTTCTCCATGAAGACTATTACCTCGTGTGTACTCTTTAAATGGGGGACACCACCAGCACATCGTACTTATTATTTGTTTTAGAGTGCTAAAACGACATTTAGGAATAGGACATATTTACTGAAAGCGAACGAGGGGAGCGTAGACGAATTAAAAGGAAGACGAAGAGGGGGGGGGGGGGAGGAAAGATACGACTTTTGAAAATAAAGCGTAAGGAAAAAATTGAAATAAAATAAACATTTGACACTTTTATTATTTATGCTTGTAATGAGGGGGGAAACACTAAAGATCTGTTTAAAGCTTCTGTATCGTTTGCAACGTGGCATCCAGGTGCAGCACGTCCTTGTTGAAAAAGATGATAGTCGCTGTACTGATCAAGACATTTCCCCGTCTTTTATGGAACCTAAAGGTTCAGTACCGTGTTCACAAGAGCATTTTATTGGAGCCCGCTTCTCGGTGGTTGAAGCGAATCGATAACCCCCACCCCCACCCCCCCACCCCTTGGAAAAGGCTATTATTCTCTATGTACACGTGAATGTGGCTGTCTGCTGGATTGCACCGTGTAATCGCATTGAAGTGTAGCGACGTTTCGGAGGTATGCGCTGCCTCCATCATGGTGCAGCATGTTTGAAGACAGTCATCGTCATATTCGACGTCTTTAGAACCTGATATCTGACACAACTCCTCTTGACTTCGTGATAAAATGTACTCTTAGCTATTTTGCAGAATTTTATCGTCTTTTGATGCCGTGATAAACGTGGACACGTTTTCTTTCGTTTCTTAAAAAGGTAGCCGAATTCAGGTAGTGATTTCCCCGTTCATATTCAGAGCCGATGTAGGATTCTTCGGATGATCAAACCGTGACAGAACGAAACTGAGTAACGCCGAAAATGTCGCGGTTGAATCCTCAACACTCCTGCTTCGTATGTCGTAGGCTCCGGGTTTGAATCTCAGCCCCGATATTCAGTCATATGCTGGCGCTCTTGTACACAATCATCATCCACTCGATGATATTTAACTTACGCAGTTGAGAAATCATCATTAAATATACCGACGATTAATCTGTTATTTTGCGACGTCATGTTTATTGCAGATGGTTAGATTTACATGGACATACCCGTAGTTGGATTACAACTCTGTACTTAGCGCTGTCGAATCAGCCTGATTTTGTGGCCGTAAGTAATAAGACGCTTGATAATTTGAGACAAAGCTAACTTGGCCTCTTTTATTAAAGGTAGCCTGTGGTACAGGGGGCTGAGGGTAGAGTCCTTAATTTTTGAGAGGATGGCCAATTCCATACCGGTACTCGAACTGTGGTCCTCCAGAAAACACGTCTGATGCGATTCGACTATGGTTGATAGAATTCTGAGTGTTCACCGGGTGAATACCTGCTGTGTATCTTGAAGTAAGCAAGCAAGCCAAGAGGTTCTTGAAGATTGGAGATAAATGACGAAATGGCATGCTAGTTAGATATTCATAGTCGTACGAGTACTGAATACACAGTTCTTAAAAGTATGAATGAGCACATACGTGGAGATATTGGATAAACAATTTCGACTTTACATGATGTAGGTCAAACGATACTTTGTAGTGATGGGCCTCAGGAGGTAAGATATGAGACAGAACTAATTAGAATTTATAATCATTACGAGTGAAAATACGGTACTAAGTGACTGACTGGCTGTCAACTCAGCTTTTTACCTTAGATTTCCTTATTCTTCCCAGAGTTAGGTTGTGTATAGAAATGGTTGCTGTCATTAGTGATATGCTGTGTGTTCGTTTGAATATTCTGTCATTTATTATGACAGTCCTCTCAGCACACGAAAACTTCTCAGAATCTGCATCTTCCTCGTTATCACCATCGTCATAGATTACGACATCCCTCTGAGCGACGTAGCGTTGTGTGAATCGTGTATTTGGAGAAGCTGTGAGCTTGTCTACTTTTGTATGTATCACCCTGTAATGAGCTTTCTTGAAAGTTAATGATTATACCTGATTATCTGTCGGCAACGAGCAACTGGCTCTAAAAACAAAGGCAAAAACTGTCAAGTCATGATTGGCGTTTAACTTTCTTACTCCGAAGATCGGGGAACTTGTGCCTGCAAGTCTCCCCACGTGATAAATGAAGTGCAGGCTAATTATCGCTTGTCGATCACGCACGCACACCTTGTGCATTGTGCCTTGATTCCAGACAAACGCTGTTCTTCGGTCCTGATTGATGGAAGTAATTTCGCTGCTTCAGTTTACTTCGTAATTTTTAAACTCGTTTAGTCAGTTTAATGAATTAAGTTGATCTTACGTTTAATCACTTGTTAAATTCATTGTATTTGCCTTCTTTCGCCAGTGGATTTTATCCGTAATTAGAAGTTTGAAACGGCAGTAATTAAGGTGCATATACCGGTGAGTGGACGATCGTAGACCCTCCACTGACACTGGGGACCACTGGTTTGAATTCCCTGTCTGTTTATAGCGTATAATGATAGGATGATTAATGAATATTGAATTTGAATGGATATGGAAGGAAACTGTCGTGACCTAATTTAAGTCCCGGAATTTGTGTGCATGGACTGAGGAAAACCAGGAAAGTCATCAGAATAGCCGCACTCCGGGCCCAGGGATATTCGTCCTAGATTTTTTTTTGTTACATTATGATCCTCTGTCTTTGGAGTCCTGTCGTTTGGTTTAAGGAAAGTTTCCCTGGGCGCTGCATCACGAAGACGTATTGGGGGAGGTAGAGCGTCAGGCATTTTTAACTTTTGCAGCAGAGGATTTGTGTGGTCGGGACACGTCGGGAATGCAGAGGAAGAAGGGTGCAGCTTCGTTGCCCTCGGTGGGTTTCATCGGACCTCGGCCTGGCACTTGGATGGAGCCGAAGTGCGAGAGCGTTTGTGGACGGAAAGCAGTGTCATTTTATCATACTGTCGCCTTCATCAGAAGTCACCACGCCAGATTTTTTTTAGATAATATGCACACTTAATTTTTACCGTAATTTCTGTAATTAAATCAACTGTAACGCTGTCAGTTGTCCTTTAGATAGTGCGGTCTTGATCATATCGAATGTAAATCGTTTTTCTGTGAGGTTCAAGCTTCAAGCTTTGTAATTTGTATAAAACAAGCCATTTCATTCCCAAATTGCTTGTATGGACTAGTATTTTGGAGGTTCCCGTTTCAAATCTCTTGACGGCGACCTCCTTGGTTTGT